GCGGTCGCGCTGGCCCCTCCGCGCCCGCACGCAATTCCTCGCGGGCCGCGCTAAAGGGTTCAGAGGCCTGCAATATTTACCTGAACCTGCAACATCTGATCTTTTAAGCCTACAGCATCCCGGAACCTATTCCGAACTCACCCGAGCCCTCGAAACTCTAACCCAAGTATGCACACTACCTCAAAAACACCCTACGGACATATTCGTGTAATCAAATCACCAATATAATATCATGAACATCGAATTAAGCCTCAAAATCAGTGAAATTTCTTAGATTCCCTTTCAAACATCAATTCCCAATTAGGGTCCGGATCACGTCAAACGACGTCCGTTTTTAACCAAACTTTACAGGAGTGATTTAAAACATATATAAGACTTGTACCGGGCACCGGAACCAAATTACGGGCCCGATACCATTACTTTCTAATCAGGTTTCATTTAAATTTTCCTTAACAATTTCAAAAAAACAATTTTACTCAAAAATTCATTTCTCGGGATTGGGACCTCGGAATTCGATTCCGGGCATACGCCCAAGTCCCATATTTTCCTACGGACCCTCCGAGATCGTCAAATCGTGGTTCCGGGTCCGTTTACCCAAAATATTTACCGAAGTCAAATTTTATTCATTTTAAATATCAAAACTTAGCATTTTTCACAAAATTTCATATTTAAGCTTTCCGGCTACACGCCCGGACTGCGCACGCAAATTGAAGCGACTCTAAATGAGGTTTTCAAGGCCTCGAAAGCACATAATGGGTAAGAAAACAGGTGATGACCCCTTTGGGTCGTCACAAGAACAAAACTTCAGCTCAAAAACATGTTGTACTTTTACAAAACACAAAACCGAAAAACTTCAGATCAAAACTTATAGAACATATTGTGTCGAGTAATTCATTGTCATCAAAGTCACTTGTAAAACGGTAAGAACGACTATGGGTACGAGATGATTCGCCAATAAAAGGAGTTTGATTCGCTTCTTTTGATCGACTCCGATTACGTGGTGATTCACCAATAACAAGAGTTCGATTCAATTATTTTGATCGACTCAGAGTACGTGGTGATTCACCAGTTGAAGGACTCGCGTTAAGTACCTTTGAACGAATCCGACTGCATGGTAATTGGCCAATTAAAGGCATTGAATTCAATTCCTCTTCTGTAGGAATTATATCCAACACCCTAAAGCTGCGATATTTCTGTTTAATACAAAAAAGTATATTATGAAAAGAAGAAAACTAATACGTCAACATATTAATACAAAGACAAAAAAAGTAACTTACTTCATGACTACGGAACATCTCAAAAAGTTCGGGAAATTTAGGCTCTCCCACACATACATAACGTAACATCCTGGGAACCTGAGGGGTATCAAGGTACTCATCCTCTCTTATATACTTCTCCCGAATATCTGGGAAGCGCTCATAGAACCAAGCACATAACGGATAAGAAAATCCACCAAGTTTANTATTATGATGCTTATCCCGTTGTGTAGGAGTCAAGAAAGTTGCAATTAATTTCTTCAAATCGTGGTTCCCCTTCCAGTAACCCTTAGAGTTAAACCAATCTCGAAACTCAAAATATCTTTGACCTGGTCTTGTAGGTGGAAGAGCAGGGACATAAGGACCTGGGGGTATTACAGGTTGTCTAGGTGCTTTAGGTGTATTAGCTGCTTTGCGTACTTTAGCTGCATTAGGATCTTTAGGTGTTTTAGGTGCCATCTGTTCAAAAAAAGTAAAACATACAAAAAATAACATCAGGACATTATCAAAAAGATCAGTTAAAACTTCAACCTCTAAGAAGGCTGAAGTTCGACAGTTACAAAACAAAATTTCAGCTCTAAAGCTGAAGTTCGACAGTTACAAAACAAAATTTCAGCTCTAAAGCTGAAGTTCGCCAGTTACAAAAACAAAAACTTCAGCTCTAGAGCTGAAGTTCGACAGTTACAAAAACAAAACCTTCAGCTCTAGAGCTGAAGTTCACCAGTAACAAAACACAAAAATTTCAGCTCACCAGTTACAAAACACAAAACATTCAGCCCTATGTTGTAGTTTTTACAAAAAACCAAACACAAATTCAAATCCAAAAATAATTCCAAAACATAAAAAAAACTTCAGCTCCTATCTAAGGTATCATCACTTTAATAGTATCATCTATTTAACTCTCAATTTTTTTTAAAATTTGGACGTCTAATCACTGAAGAATTTATAGAATTTTCATCAACAACATAAAAACTCGTTCAAAAAATCTAAAAACACAATCGTAAAAGTAAAACTAATGCACTTATCAAACTAAACACTAAGAAACTATTTAATCATAAATACATGACTATCAAAACCAAAACAAGAAAAAAAACAGGAAATCGTAAAATAAAACCCAGAAAATTAATGCAATGTACATGTGATTAAATCGTAATGTGGGAACAACGACGAATAGCAGTTGAAAAATCAAAATAACGACGAAAACCCTTTGATTTCAGAAAGAACAAATCAAAAAATGCGAATAACGGGAGAGAGAGACAGAGACAGTAAAGGGCTAGCGTATACTTGGAGAGAAAGTAGTCTTTTAATGAAGACGGCAAAATAGTCTTTTTAAAAGGCTTTTAAAAAAAACGGGTACGGGTACAAACAGAAAAACAAAGCGGCTACAGGTTAAAAAGGGGCGCCCAAATAGAACGCCCGTGCAATTTTTACGTATATTTTTCTACCATTTTAAAATGAAAAACAATTATAAATTATAGTAGTAGTACTCAAATGGAATGTAGTCTACAATCGAGGCCCACTAGTTAGTTATCAACCAAGTGGGCCTTAAACTAAACAAGAAACAAAAGCCCAATAAAACGCCAACCAACTTATAGCCTGTTTGGCCAAGCTTCCTTTGGCCAAAAGCACTTTTGGCCAAAAATTGAGGTGTTTGGCCAAACTTTTGGAAGGAAAAAAAAAGTGCTTTTGAGGAGAAACAGAAAAAAATAGCTTCTCTCCAAAAACACTTTTTTGAGAAGCACTTTTGAGAAAAATACATTTAGAAGTAATTTTTTAAAGCTTGGCCAAACTAATTGCTGCTCAGAAGTGTTTTTCAAACTAATTAGCCAAACACAAACTCTAAAACACTTTTGAAAAAAAATACTTCTCAAAATAAGGTCGTTTTTGCAGCTTGGTCAAACCGGCTATTATTCTCCCTCATGGGCTGCAGAAGAAGTTTTTGCTCTGTTTATATTGCGGAAGCTCAACACTGGAGTTCGTTTGGAACGATACACAGAAGATTAGCATGGCCCCTGCTCAAAGATGATATGCACAATCGAGAAATGGTCCAAATTTTTTTTGCCCCTTCGCCGGCGGTGATGCTTCGCTCCCAAACTCAACTCTTTTTGCCGGTCGGCGGCGGCGATGCTCTCTCACGAGATTTCTTAAGGTTCGTAAACTATTCAGTATTTTTTTCATCTGTTTTATTTCCTGTTTCCCCAAATTTAGCTGACGGCGATAGGCGTGTTATTATTCCCTAATTTGATTGTTTAGCTTTTATCATGATGTTATTGTGAAATTCACACATATTACATTAGGAACATTTATCACTCCATGGTCTTTTGCGTTTCTTCTTTTTGAAGGTAAATTTTGAGGCAAATTTGAAAGATCATTCGTTGTTTAATTAGTTTTCTTTTAATCACAGCGATGTCGTAATGCAATGGTTTACTTTAAACTTGATTATCTTTTGTTCCCCATTATGCAAGGGTTTACAATTGCTTGTTTGCTATTCAAAATCAATAAATTCATAGATTCGTTCTACTATATTTAATCTACTTGCACATTGAGCCGCTTTTTGTGCAATGGCTTTTCTCCATCCTTCTATACTCTTTTAAGTTGAGGAAGCTCGTCCAAATTGTTGGTAAATTCCTTTATGAGATTGGTCTCTGCAGTGAAAAAACTATGAATACTAATTTGCAGTTATTCTAAGTCAAGCATGCGCGGAAGTATCTATGTTCTAAGCTTCTCATCTAGTAACCTTCGTGTCATATAAGCAACTTTTTCCTTTCTTTAACAATGACGTGTTAAAGACGTCAATGAAGCGAGGACATTGAAGGAGGAGCCTTCCTATGGAAAAGGTGAAAAAGGGATTTCAATGAAAGGTCCTATGGTTGTTCGAATAACACGTGGTTCTTTTATATGCTTAAATGTCATTATAGCACCTACGGATATGTGAAGGATGTTAAGACGAGGTACTGTGCTTTTTGTTAATGTTTGTTGATCTTTGAGTGCTGTGTGAACTGCTTTACTTCTTTCTTTTTTTTTATCAGTGGAATTACTGACTTAAGTTGTACGAAAGATAGAGACATGATTCTTTCTGAAGTCCCCGACATTTAAATTTCTTGACTTTTCATAAATGATATCTCTCTCCTAGTAATATTGCAGCATATAAATAACTATGCAGTTTGCGGGATCTATTCCTGATTCCCAGAAGATAGTGAAAGTTGGTTCAACAGATGGACTACAAAATGAGAAGACAATGGTACCTAATGAAGTGAATTATGAACTAATATAGAAAAAACTTATAAAATTGATTGTGTCTATCCCTTGCAGCCTGTTGTGCAAGCGACTAGTTCTGTCTGTCGAAAATGTGTACCACATGTACATGAGTTTTCAGTGTCCGAATAGCATAATTAACATAACCTAGAACATTTGTGATGCAGTAGGATGTTTTATCCTTTGCACATCTTGCGTTTGTTGTTCTGTTATATATGTGATAACATCAGAATGTCTAGATGGCTAATATCATGCGGCATATGTATTTTCAAAGTCAAACAAAATGGATTAGGTTCAATTTACCTTTCCCCATAATCCCCAACTTCCATCCCTAATGATTTGATCTGACAGAAATGTGAATTAACTGTGATTCTCCTAATTCTTGTATTCTCTCTTTACCAAGTGAAGTGAATTGGGTTAGAGCCTGAATTGCTGTTAACTGGATTTTCATATACAAACAGCGGATACCAGCAGGTAGACCAGACTCAACTAGTCTGCTTATGTTTGATCCTTCAACTAAGCCAAAAGGTTAATTGGGCAAAAAGATTGCTTTAGTTCTCAATCATCAAATCATAGATGATAAGTCACAACCCTATAGTGCCCAAGTCTTTTCACAAAAGAAAAAGAATCTTACTTATTAAGTACTAGATAAGTGTTGCCCGTGCATAGCACGGGCCCAACAATTTGAATTCTGATCCCGTTTTGTTCTTGTCTAATATCGCATTCACATAGCGAACCTACAAAACTATAAAGGTTTAGAATTAGGCCAGTCCGATGATTTTTGTGGTCTAAAGCCAAACTTTATGATAGCCTTAACTTTTTAATTTTTTTTTATGTGAACTCTATTTTTCTAGCTTTTTTTAGCTGCAAAGTTATTAATAATATTCTTATAATCAATTTCTTCTAAAGAGTGTTTCTCAATTGACAATATAGCTAATTCATTTAACCTCTCTTGAGACATTGTTGATCTTAGGTAAGAATAATTTTAATTTTGAAAAACTTCTTTCCGTTGAAGCAACGGTAACAAAAGCAATTAACATTATTTTATAAGCAATATAAACATTTGAAAAAGAATCAAATTTTTTTATTTGATTGAATATATCAATTAAACTATTATCTTCTAATTATACTATTTTTCTTAACACTACTAATTTATAAAATAAATCTAAACCATAAATATCTGATTGATTATTATGCTTTAAGGAACATTCATGATTAAGACAATATTTTTTCAAATTTCTATCATCTAGTGATCTCAGTTTTTTTACCGCTAAATAGAAAACCAAAAATATTTTCATATGCTTCAAAGTATTCAAATTTGTTGTGAAATAAAAAATTAGCCTAATCTACTATGTATAAAAAGTAATCAACTCTAAAGGACTCTTCAAGAGATTTTGAAATTTCATTATCAACATTTTCATCAAATTATTTCTTCCTACATATCACACGTTATTTGCGTTCGATATTCATTTCAAATGTAATTTCCTTGACATAAATCATAGCAATTGCTAATCCTTCTTCTCTATATTTGTTAAAGAAAGAATCAAACATTTTCATTCACAACATTTTTAGGTGTAATAAAAAATAAGACCCCCATAAATATGGGGCCTAAAACGTTGTTTTACCCGCTTTAAAGAAGGGATGCCCCTGTTTAGAATTGGACATAAGTTCACAAACATAGAAACACACTTCCAACCTTGGAAAATAGTGACAAATATAGAACAATATATATTGCTTCCCTAGATTTATCAAAATTGAGCAAATATTTCCTTTTCTTCAACTTCCTTTAAATATACTTACAAAATCAAACTCAAGCTCAAGTACGCCTTATTTCTTCATCGTTTTCTACCCACTATCTTATGCTACGTGATCAACTAAATATATCAGTTGCTATCCGTGTTTGTACTATAAACAAAAGAGAACATAGTCCAACTAAGAGCCACATAAAGTATGGCAAATATTTTGTGTATTGCATTCATACATCTGCTACTATGTGTTCTTCAGACAACCTGTCCTATTCCAAGTAGAGAATAAGAAGTCAAATATTTAGAGATAGAAAATATTAAATGATAGCAAGAATTGAAAAATATCACGACATAAAGAGATAAGTGCGATCACCACAAATAAACTACTCGAAAAATACTATACTCAAGAGTCAAATTATGGCCTTTTATAGCAAGACACTGTTACTACAATCTAAAGATACATCAAATATAATATTTTATCAAAACAGTATAGGATCTTCCTATCATTAAGATTTAACCACCTAACAATTAACGAAAAAATCGAAAAAATGCTAAGCCTTATGTTTTCTTTGATAAGCTAATGCTGACACAACTTATGTGAAATGCAAATGATGTCCAGAAAAGTTGGTCAATGCATTTTACTTTCCCTCATATAAAAGAAAAAGATACATTAATATCATATGACTATTAAGTGACACAAAAAGTTCATTCGTTATAAAGAACATATAAGGATATGAAGTAAATACATTGATATATTTTTTGTCATCACTGCAAGAATAAATATGGACTGATATTAATATTTCTTTTATGTCATCTCAGCATTATCTTAGTGTGGTCTTTGTCAATAATAAAATTTTCTAATACACGAAAAGGGAAATATAAAAAAGTGATCCACTTTGCTTTTCTCATTTTCTTCACAAACCTTAATTGAAAAGTTTCTTCTCTGTTTCAAGACATAGATAGATTGATTTATTGACTGTATTTATCACATAAAGTATCAAACTGAAGTTCCATAAGTCAAATATCGAAAGGAAACTGAGTAGATAGTTTAATTCAAGTACAAACTCTTCAAGACAATTACAATAAAACACATTCTTTATATCTAAATATATTGAGTAAGCTGGTAGTGCTCAAGACCTAATACATACCTCAGTCATGGGGTTCTTTTAAATCTCCCATTGATGAATAATCAATTTCTACCAGAGTCAACAATGAAAATAATTTAGAGTTCACGAAATACTGAAGAAGATATAATCAAACATAAAATTGTGTTCAAGATAGTTAGCTCAAGATGGTACTTATTCTAGAACTTCCCAAACAACGGTCAATCAACAAACTTCTAATGGTTGATCAACTAAGTAACAATAATGACGTTTTTGTGTTATTCTATCTGCAAGAGCACCTTATGTTTGAAATGGCACTCAGCCTAGGTAATATGTTTTTTTTTTTCCTCAAAATTTTGGTTTGTTCTTGTCACCCTTTTTGCATAAATTGCACTTTTTTATAAATACATTTGTAGTACATTATATTTAATTTGCAAAGACTTATAACCAAGGAAACAAACAAAGTTATACCATGCCACTGTTACCAAATACACTACAATAATTATGCAAAACTATCCTTGATTTCTTATTTTATTTGTCCTTAATCTTAGTAGATAAACTCATAGAACGGAAAAATATCTCATGGTATTAATACACTGTGCGAAAGAGTTATATACTTCAATTCACAAATAAAACTCAATACCTAACAATAGTACAATTTTACGAAGTACTTATTTCCGAAAGTGTACATACTACGACATGTTATTGTATCATAAATCACCCTACCTATTCAGCCAAATAAAAATTAAAGCAACTCTTGTAGCCACAAATAATAGGCAATATCAAAGCTAGAACTTTCAAAGTATGAATATAAAACCTCCTCGATCACCAGTTATTTCATGCATTACAATACTACCTTTTCTAACTAAGAGGAAAGTTTTTGAATGCTAGACTTATCGCCTGTTTGGCCCAGCTTCTCCAAAGCCAAAAGCACTTTTCTTTTTAAAAGAAGTACTTTTTTTTCAAAGTTAAAGTGTTTGACCAAGCTTTTTGAAGAAAGAAAAGTGCTTTTGAGGAGAAGCAGAAGCAGTTTTGGAGAAGCAGAAAAAAGTAGCTTCTCTCCAAAAGCACTTTTTTGAAAAGCACTTTTAAGAAAAATACACTTAGAAGCAGTTTTTAAAAACTTGGCCAAATACTAATTGCTGCTCAGAAGTGCTTTTCAAATTAATTAGCCAAACACAAACTGATTCTCACCAAAAAATACTTTTGAAAAAAGCACTTTTGAGAAAAAACACTTCTCAAAATAAGTTAATTTTTGCAGCTTGGCCAAACAAGCTATTAGTCATCATATGTTCCGGAATATTAAAAAAAAATCAATTGATCTTTGAACTTGTAACTACAACTTGAAAGTGATGAAATAAATTAAAAGCACAAAAGCAAACACACCAATTGATTTAAGAAACTGAATGCGAAGAGAGCTGGGCCTTACCATCAATAATCACAATGATAAACATAAATATGAAGAAAAAAAAACTTACACCCAAAAAGGAAGTAAAGAGCAGCATGTAGAGGCCTTGATGGATAAAAAGAAGGGTACCAAGTTAAATAGTTCACAGCCTTTGCCACTTGAAGTGATGGAGGAGGACCTTTGAGTACTCTTTCATGACCTTGAAAATAATCCTTTTTCTAGGTTCCTGTAATAGTTTTAATTTGTAAAAGTTGAAAGTAATCATCATGGAAGAATGTTTTAATACATGCTATATTTATGTTAAAACAAAGTGTATTTATGAATGCAATAATATTTTCCACTGATAAATATACAAACCTGATAATCCATATGCATTCGGTACTGAACTAACAGGAGAAAAAACCAATTGTCAAGAAGTAACCAAGTGAATCAATCAGTCAAGTATGCAAGATGGAAAGATCCATCCGTCACTTATACTTTTGGACAAAATATCTTAATAAAATACAAACTTAAAGAATATTCTAATAAAATTGCATAAAAGTAGAGAATAATAAGAAAGTATAGGTGAAGATAACATATGTTGATAATAAGACATGGACATATCAGTAGAAAATAAGACAAATTAGGCTTAAAGATGGGTGAATGAGAATTTCCAATAAGACAAACAACTATAATTTATAGTTGAACACACATTGTATCAGTGGATGCCAATAAACAAGGAATAAAAAAATAAAAAAAATTAAGCTACTTCCTTGGCTTAGGTATCCTCTTATACATGTCCTTACATCTCTATTCCTCTTGTCTGCTTCTTAAAGTTTTGGATATCTGTGCTATTTTCTCGTCCTTTTTCTGGACCATTAGTGTCTTGCAACTTCATACAATCTTTATCAATCCTCGGTGCTCTACTTCCTACTCCTCTACTTTTAAATATTCCTCTACTTTCAAATCCCATCAACAACAATGAGTCATCATATAAAGCAATCCCATTACATGCCCTTTAACATACCTTCCTTATTCCATAAATTTGTAGCCAGATAAATGAATTTAAGTTTAAACAATCAGATGTTGCTCGAACACAACTTTTAAGAAAAGTTCCCAAATCATCTTAAGCCTAATTAAGCATTCCTAAGACATGAAATAATGAATAAAATCTGTCAATAGAAATTTATATGCATAAATTTTTCCCAATAGCCATTTGACTTAATTCATTCACTTTATTTCAATCTCAACCCATACACCAATTTTAGTGCTTTATCAAAATTAGGTTATCATGAGTTCTTACTGTTCTTTTCCTCGGCTATGGAGAGTGAGGGGTGTGCGCAGAGGCAGTTAAGAAGAGCCTGAAAACATACTCGCGATTCACAATTCATAGAAATATAACATATACAAAAAATGTAAAGAAAAGGAAGAACAACATGAATTAGGAGTAAAATTAAATATCCTTTTTGTTTTAAGTTAGTAGAACAATAAATTTCAATACCTTATGAAGAAGAAGAGATAGAGGTGAATCAGCAAGAAGAAGGCAACATCAATGAAATTGGACGGAGAATAGCCCTTAAAATGGTAATTCCGCATCATCTGGTTGGAAAATACAAAATCCAAGGAAATTTATCCATGAAATTGAAAACAGTTAAATAGATCTAAAAGTAGCAAAGAAAGAAAAGAAGACAAAGAGAAAACAAAGAAGATGCGAGCAAGGATTGAGCGAATAATGCCTGAAATCTAATAGATAGATAAGAAGACGAAAAGAGCTACGAGTATTGTTGAAAGTTTGAAGAAGGCGAACTGAAACTCCTCCATCGGTTGGAATAGAAGAGACGGAAGACGAGAGCAGATTCTAGACTCTGTCGTGTGTGTCAAAAATGATGGAAGGCACTTTTTCCTTTGAGCAAAATGACAATTTTGCCCTTGATCGACATCTTTCCTTTTCTATATAATAGAAATAAATAGAAAAAATATAATATGAAGTTAATTGATGGTAAGATCCTTATTTCTGTTGCTAAGCTTCTTACAAATAGTTACACCTTTTTTTTTATTAATCTCAGGCTTAGAAATAAAGGTTTAAAGGCAACAGGAAAATAAGCTAGATAACAAACATATAAATAAGCCTTGGAAAAATATTTGAATTAAATCGGGATACTTTTATTTAGTATGAGCGAAACGAATTGCTAGTTGTTTCAGAAGCTAAGAGGGGCATTCCCCTGTACATATGAAGCAATGAGAACCTAGTCTTTGCATTAAACAGATTAGAACAAAATCTAATGCTATTGTATTGAATACAGAGAACTGGCATAGACGAGGAGTAAATTCCTAACAACAGAAGACATATCTCTAATTCGTGAATGATCTTGGAATGATGCCTTGTTACTGCTGCTGTGTTTCTTCTCTAAACTTGAATTTGGGCATACAAATCCCTTTTTATTGAAGAGCGTATCCACCAGGTTATCCAACGCCTCAGGAGTCAGTCGAAATCCATCCCAATGCAAATACGAAGCCCGATCAAAACATGCAATAACTCTGTGGCATATTCTGGTTTGCGAATTGGGTCACCCTCGGGAAACAGAGTCCGAAAACCAGAAAGCAGCCCACGAATGAATTCCAGATACTAAGTTTTTTATTTTCTCCAGCTTCATTGATGAGCTTTTCAACTGAATTTTTAATAGTCTCCACCACTTCAGGCACAAGATGAGACACTTCAGATATGGATTTTCCATGTAAGAAAGCCTGCTTGTCGTCATTGATACCGAGTTGATCCATAAAGATAAGTGCTTTCTGGAGAACCCTGTTTCTGCCAGAGTCATGAAAAAAGGTGCAGTCTTTATAGAAGAACTTCATGAAGGAGACAATCTTAGATAGGTTATGAGATTGACCGGTGGTGGGATGCCATTCTCGAGGAAGAAAAATGGCATGATGTTTGCTCAAGGAGTTGCAAAACTCAGACCAGACTCGAAGTACTTAGTGCCTTGTTGGGTGTATGGCTGTGGATAAGGCAAACTGAGGGTTGCAACAATTGATGGATTATTATATGCGGCGGAAGCAATCCCAGTATCAAAATCATATGTAATTTAGACAATTAGCATAAACGAGATTTCACGGGTTACCTCTTGAAGCGTGAACATATTTCTTCTACCACGTGAGCCTTCAGTTCCATAACTTCTCAATGAAATCTCCATCACCCGCACAATCGTGATCCTCGAACGTTCCACGGTCTTCTACTGTGTTACCCAAATAATACCCGAAAATAGCAATTTCGTGTGGGCGAAATTTCTAGGAAAACTTGGCTGAAAGTTTCAGCCACCATGTACTCATCCCTCTAGGTGGAAAACCTTATGTATTTATAGCACAAGTTTTAAGGGTTAAGACCCTTTTCCAAAACCTGTTAGGTTTTCTTTTCCACCAGAAAAATGATTCCTTTATTTCCTATTATTTAGGCACAGTAGGGACCACAGAATTTAATTAACAAGGCTTCCAATTATGGAATTAATTTGTAATTTTCGAAATTAATATCCACCATAATTAATTACGAATTATTCCACTAAAAATTCGTAATTACACTCCTTATTCAATTTCGAAATTCATCCATTAAATCTTATTTAACTCCCCATGTTAAGATTCAGATACGAATCAATTAAATTAAATTACTGATGATTTAATTTATTAATTATTTCCTTTAGACTTTCGCTTAACTTATTTCATGTGTCGGATACAAAATCCACCGGCCGGGTTTACACATGCAAACTTATAAGCTTTCATAAAGGTATATCATCAATCTCTAAACCGAGACATGGATTCCATCAACTAACTATTATTTCGCCAATGTATATTATTATTATCCAATTTACCAGGCATATTGACCCACGAAAGAATCTTGTCTTTTAATAAATCAAAACAATAATAATATACACAACTAATAATAATTATATCAAGATTAAGAGTATAAGTACATTTAATGGCTAGAGAGTTTATTTTATTAAGTCAGTATAAAATACTTATCTCTACCTGGTCCGTTCAATACATACAAAATGTACTAGCACAAGAAGTTGGAATTAAACCATTCCCATAATCAAGATTAATTATATTTAATCTTGTGCTACAATCATTCCTGATGGTTTGTCCAATTCCATCATTAGATTGTGAACTCAAACTTTATACTTATAAGAACCGATGATTTAATCTTCCGTGTATAAGCTAAACTCTATACACTAAATCATCTACTATATAAGCAAAGGACACAGACTATTATATGATCTATTTAAAACTTTATTAAAACTGAATAAACAATTATTTCATAATAAATACTATATCTAAACCAAACTCATGGTTAATAGTATATATCCCAACAATCTCACACTTAGACTTTTAACCATGATAATTATTAGAATATACTATATCCAAATGCATGGTTAATAGTATATGCCCCAACAACAATTTGATCATGAGCTAATGATGAAGAGTCGCTATCCCCAAAACTGTAAATGGAGTTAAAAGGGCCGTCTTCCTTCGCAAAAGAGAAAGACAGAACAAGGAGAAAAGACTGGAGTACTGGACCAATAGCACGAGCAACAAATAATGGCTGCTACAAAAGAAAGCCATTGAAGCAAAGAAATTAAGAGCTCAAACAATATGAGAAAGAGCAAGATTGATGCAAAAGTGGTTACAGATTGTGATTTATTTCCTTATTCTTTCTTTTTCTATCTTTTATTGCAAGTTTCTTCACTTTTGCAATAAATCCAGGCTTATTTGCTTATTCTTTCTTTATTCCAAAGTAGTTACAGGAGAAGGAACATTCTTAACGTTCCGCTTCTACGAGGATATGGAAAGTGACACTGCGTTTTCTTTTTAACAGATCCTAGTAATTTTTATTATTCAAACAACCCCATGACTTTTTCTAGCTAATTATTTATCCACCTGAGAAAAATAATGCCAAAGAAACAAATTATACAATCAAATAGGCATTAGAAACATATAATGTATAGTTTTGGGTATCTTTCTTTTTGAAAATAAGGCATATTGATATATACAATACAGTGGTGAAACTAGTAATTTATTCAAGGGCATTCAAATTTGAAAGAAGTGAAAAATATTCTGACAAATGGTGTTCAATACATATTATATACCTCTAAAACATAATATTTTATCTATATACACAATACAATTTTTCGACGAACTTGTAACCATGTGGCTTCGCCACTGACACGACAGGATATGCATTTCCAATGATGACTGATCGTAACGCCATAACAACAACAACAACAACAATGATCCAGTATAATCCCACAAGTGGGGTCTGGGGAGGGTAATATGTACGCAGACCTTACCCCTACCCCGAAGGGTAGAGAGGCTGTTTCCAGGAGACCCTCGGCTCAAAAAAGCAATAGGAGATGATATATTAGTACCATAAAAATGCATAATAAAAATAACAACAATATATAAGAGATATGAAATACAGAATACGAAATACGAAATACGAAATAGATGGCTGGTATAGTACAACTAGAAGGTAAAGCCCTGCATCAATAGANCGTCAAGCCTCACTTCACCTCCCGCTTCCGTCGGCTCAACTTCAAATTTGCACTCGAGGTATTCCGTCTTCGTCCTACTCAACTTGAAACCTTTAGACTCAAGAGCATGTCTCCAAATCTCTAGCCTCTCGTTGACGCCGCCTCTTATCTCGTCAATTAGAATAATGTCATCAGCTTTCGGGTACCCAATATTTGCTAAAAATCTAAGAGGATTCTCCTGATCCAATCAAAATCATGCAAGCTAGTTGGGGCTACGAGAGATGCTGGTCTCATTTTCCCATGCCATCTTTCTCTTTTTCTAACAAAATAGAAATATACATGTAGTTATCGGAAAAGGCTGGATTTACCGCGAAAACTCTAGTTGCTTTTTGAAGGGACAGCAGAATCAGATCTAGTACATTCTCTGACCATCTGGTAATTACTCAATAATAATAAGATTTGTGATTGTTATATCTTTATATTTATTGTGCTATTGAACATCATGTCCCTTTATAATTTACTATTTAAGAAAATGACCTTTACTTATATGTAAAAAGACAGATGTCTTACCAAGTAACGAAAGGAATATGTGATAAGGAATTCACCAAGTAATTCGCCACAATCCCCTTTTTTGAAGCACTCTGCTCGTTTAAGCAAACAGAATTTCAAAAGGAGTGAAACAATCACTGTAACGTCGTTAAGATGCTTCTGTGCTCACCTTCTTCCATCTCTGCTCACAATCTTAGCAGAAACAGAACCAGACCTTCGCCTATCAATTCTATGGCAGTTGACAGAAGCAGCTCCCGCGTTGCCACAACTGCTCCGCAGCGCAGGAACGGCACGTCAGCTCTCGAAGCTCGCATCTCCCTCGTCATCGCTCTCGCCTCCCAAACCTCTTCTCTCTCTCAGAAACGTAATTTCTTCACTCCAATTCCTAATTTCTCGCTTTAATCGGATTTTAAGCATTTGTCTCTCAAAAAAATTGATTTCTTTTAACATTTCGTCCGGTGCTTTCCAGGGAAAAAAAATTAATTTAGTTTAAAAGACTAATTATTTACCTGTACGGGAATGGAATTGTGCTTGATGGCTGAAGCGCAGCAGATATAAATGATTCATGTTGTCCTCTGGCTAGTTTAGGAATGAGAACCTAGTCGATTGACTGATTCATTAATTGTTATTACATTTTTTTTTATTGTTAGCAGTTCTGACGGAATTGGCGGGTGAAACCGCGAAATACGTGTTTTCGAAGAGGATATTCGAAAATCGGACTTTAGAGGAAGCTTTGATGTCTGGTATTCTTTCTCAATTTTTTCTATGATTGTTATATTCTCTATTTTAATAATAATGAGAATTTTGATGGTTAAAATTAATGACTAGCTCCCATTACTGTTATCTTCTTGAAGTGCCGGATCTGGAGACAGTGAAATTCAATGTTCTGAAACGCAGTGATCTGTATGAGATAAGACAAGTTGAGGTATTTACCCTATGATTCTATTTATTACTAATGTTTGACTCAAAAGATATTAAAACTTTTTTGAACAAATCAATCAAAGATGAAGGGGTAAATCTTAGTCAAACATAATTAATTCAAGATCGAAAAATTATCAACAATAATTGCATATGGGATGAAAGAGATGTGATCGATCTTATTAAGATTCGGCATTGTCTTTCTCATCAATCGATGAGGAAACAGATTTACACATTTTCTTCGAGGTCATTTCCTCTTTTTTTAGAATACAAGAAGGGAGCTTTTTGTCTTTCTTTTGGGAAATCGGAGAAGCCCCCAAGTTGAGAGCTTTCCCTGGCTATATATAGTCAGGGTATCCTTGCCCTTTGCTTGACTCGACATTTTCTTGCCGCTGATGTGTCTTGTTCATGATTTTAGGCGTCACTCTTACCGATTCGTCGGATGTCATAGAAGAGAAATGGAGTGGGCTCTGTTGACCTTCACTGCCTAGTTACTTAGACAGGTGTCTGTCAGCTTGGTCGTGATGGTCAGATTTTGACCAATACAGTTAGTCCCTCCGTCTGTCGGGGTCGTCCTATGTCGGACTCGGCAGACGGATCATGTTCGTTACGACTTCAAGAGAAATCTGACCTACGACTTTCCGTTCCTTAGTCACATTTTGTAGGTTTTTAACGGAGTGGCGACGTTCTTTTGATCCTCTTGGACCGTTGCGGCGGTTTCGAAACCGAAACATCGTTTGGTATTGAAGCGTTGGTTCGTGGTTATCACCATTATGACACACGTTTCTAGGAGACTGAAACGTTTCGTGCCCTATCTGATTTGAATGGCGACTCTTAGGTTTCGTGCTCGGGGGATTTATGTCTCTTATAAATAGAGGAAACTTGTCATTCGATTGACACACTTCATCTTTCACTTGGGAGAATTCTGCTGATATACTTTCTTTCCGATACCTCGAATTTCTTCGTGCCCCCCTTGTTTGCTGAAAACTTTCATCTCTTCTTTCTGTTATTTCTTTGGCGTACTTTCTGACAAGAATGGCTGGTGATTCTTCTCGTGACAATCTCCCCGCTGCTAATCCGACACCGGAAAATGTTTCCCAGATCACCGGAGGGGCAGACGTGGTGGAGGATGAGGAGGTCCCCTCAGTGATTGAGATCTTGGCCCGCCTTGTGAGAGAGCCGACTGACTTCAATACTCCTGCCGGGGTTGAACCAGAACCTGTTCACTCTGTCATGAGGGAGAGGGACATTGTAGAGTTGAAGGAAAGGTGGGGGATTCCCGGTTACGTGGATATGCGGCCGGCAGTGGGAAAAGACATAGTTCATTTCGACTGCCCCGGGTACTGTGTGTTCTACGCCTACCCCTTCATCGTAGGGTACACACTTCCTCTTCCCCTATTGGTAGTGGATTTTTGCCGCTTCTACGAAGTGTGTCCCGCCCAACTGTCGCCATATTTGTACAAGATATTTCTTATGCTGCTCAAGTATGCGGAACTCGCCAGTCGTGAGGTTACTTTGGACCATATGCTCAGCATCTTTGCTCCTCAACTTATTCGTGGTTCAATGATTCACATGTGCCCTCGGGGGTCGAGGGGTCTGGTGGTGAAGATGGACGACAGGACCAACCGTCGTTTCTATGAGAATTACTTTTATGTGCGGACTGAACATATTGTGGCGGACCCAACGGGATTCCCTGAGAGATGGAACTCCTCACGTAAGTTTGTATTTTTAGTTAGTGAAATGCTCGACCGTTTTTTGCGAGTACTAAACTTTATCTCGTCTTTGCAGCTGAGAGATTGCCCCCTTTGCCTGTCGAAGGTATCCGTGAATGGGTGGAGGCCATACTTCCCCATACAGTGGGGATTCGCACATGATCGACCTTTCATGAGAGGTTCGGACGCAGGCCCCTTACAGGTGAGACGACTTCTCTGTCTACTGTTCTTCCTCTTTTTGTTTAGCTTCTTATGCGTTGTTCGTCGTTGTTAGGGAGGGTGCGGAGAGCAAGGGCTCCTTCGTTAGCTTTCCGCCAGCTGGCCGCATCCGCTCGCCCTATCGCAGTACCCACTGCCCGACCTTCATCGAGGGTTGCTTCAGTTGAGTCTGCGGCCTTGGTTACTCCGGCGAGGGCCACTTCTCATGACGAGATTCCGACCAATATCGTTCGCCCAACGGGTGAGTCACCATCTACTGGAAAGGAAGAGGGACCGTTGAAGAGACGGAGAGTAGAGTTTGAGACGGCGTCCCCCAACAGTAATTCATCTGGACGACTCTCCCCGACGGGATCTGGAGAGGGTGCTATTGCGGCTCCACCCATAGGGACGAAGCAAACCGTTGGAATGGTCGGTGTCCGCGATCAGCAATCAGAAACTCCCGCCGCCGTCTTGGCTCAATCAGAAATCCCTGCCGTTGTTGGTGACCAACAACATGTCGCGGTGGAGAATCAGACTTCTGGGGTTGCCGTCGTGATTTCAGACATGCCCTCATCTTCTGCAGCAAGTCGTGCTTCCTCTTCAGCTGCAGAAAGGGGAAAAGGCGTGGTGGTTGACGACTATGAATCTGAGTCAGACCTGGACCCCGATGATGTTAGGATGTTTGAGGAGGGTCTTACTCATTCGGTGGTTAATGCAGGGGGCTTGGCCCGTATTCTTCGGATCCCTTTTGGCGTTAATCTCTTGGCGGAAGGGGAGGATCTGGTACCGCAATTCAGCCTGTTATGCTCCGAAGCTGAGAATGAGTCCCTTCGGTCTGTTCCTGATGCTGAGTTGATAGACGAGGTGGCCGTCATGGTCTTAAGGGTACGATACATTTTATTTCGCTTTATGCTTCCGCCCTTCTCGAAAGTACTATTTTAACCCCGTCTTTACGTTTTTCAGACATATATGGTGGAAGTGGAAAACATTCACAGGGCCAACATCCGGGCAAGGATTTTCTTGAAGATGCTGGAGAAATAGCGTCGCTATTGCGACAGGTGTCGCGAGATGTATGAGCGGTTGAGGACGGACCCCCGTAATCGGGCTCTTGGTGAGGAGTTGGAGAAAAGAGACCAGGAATTGATGCAGACCATCCGCAGCAGGAGCGCACTCGAGGAGCAACTTCGAATTAAGGACGAGGAGCTCGAGCTGGGTAAGGGGGTTGCAGCGGAATGCGAGCATCTGCAGGGAAGGTTGAGGTCGATGCAGCCGGAGATGGACCAGAACTTGGTCAAGGTCGAGGCGATGAGCGTGGAGTGGATGAGAAAATTTTCTGCGCTGGAGAGCAAAGTTGCTGGGTTGGAGAGCATTGAGAGTGCCTGGTCCGAGGCTTTGGCGAGGGCGATGGCCCTGGAGAACACCATCCGCGTCCTCCAATTCGAACAGGAGTCGGAGAGAGCGACAACTACCCTCAGGGAGGCGAGGCTCGAGGAGCGCATCAGCGTGATTGATCAAGAGGCATCGGTTCTGGGAGATCGGGTCGCGGCTTTGGAGGCAGAAAATGAGCGATTATTGGCTTAAGTTGAGTCATCTTCCGCTACCGTTCCGGCCCAATTGCATGAGCTCTGGGTTTATGCTGAAGCCCAGCGGGATATATATAAGAGTTTGTGGGAGGCGAGCACCGTGGCTGAGGCTGCTTATGAAGAAGCACGAGCGAAAGCACGGGAGGCTCGCATCAATTGTGGGTATGACGCAGCGACGCCCAAAGCTAATGGGGATGCGGATGATGGTAATGGAGAACCTCTTGGAGACGACGATGATGGTGGTGATGGTGATGGTGCTGGTGACGGCGGTGATGACGCCGAATGAAGAATGTTGTCCTTTGTTTTTATTTTCAATTGTTTGTCGATTGTCGTTCGTTCGTGTTGTTGTTGTTTTTTTTTGGTTGGCTTGGGCCATATGTAAGTGGCGATAGCCCGCACTGTGACTTTGTATAAATGAGAGTTCTTTTCTTAGCTATTTGTCTTGTACTTCACTTTTATTTCAACTGTTTATGGCTTTGGTGCAAGATAGATGCCCGTATGGCGAGTCCCGGTTTTTCTTTCCTTCCGTGGTTTTCAGCCTTAACGGGTGTTGTTTCGAACTTATCGAAATGACGGCCCGTCGTCGTTCTATCGAGGTCGAACCCTTCTCTTTTTTGGCGAAAGCCCTTGGCCTTTAGGGTATTATTTCGAACTTATTGAAATAACAGCTCGTCGTCGTTAGATCGAGGTCAAATCTTTCTCTTTTTTGGCGAAGGCCCTTGGCCTTAAATGGTGTTATTTCGAACTTATCGAAATAACAACCCGTCGTCGTTCGATCGAGGTCGAACCCTTCTCTTTTTTGGCGAAGGCACTTGGCATTAAAGGATGTTATTTCAAACTTATCGAAATAGCAGCCCGTCGTCGTTCGATCGAGGTCAAACCCTTCTCTTTTTTGGCTAAGGCCCTTGGCCTTAAAGGGTGTGATTTCGAACTTATCGAAATAACAACCCGCCGTAGTTCGAT